AGATGTTGGATGCTGCAGATGTTGGATGCTGCAGATGTTGGATGCTGTCTATCATGGAGCACTAAGATTCATAACTGGCTGTAACTACCGTACCCACCACTGCACCCAGTATTCACTGGTTAACTGGTCACCATTAACTTCACACAGACTCTCTCACTGGTACATCTTCATCTTTAAATCACTTCTTGGTCTGCTGCCTTCATACATCTCCTCCTACATGTCTCTGTGTGAGTGCAGCTACAGCGTGCGCTCTCAGGACATCATTACCTGCAGTGTTCCCTCAGTGAGGACTGAACTAGACAAAAGGACCTTCTCCTGCTCCGCTCCTGTTTCCTGGAACATCTTGTAAAAAGATCTTAAGCTCTCGACCTTTGACCTCTCTAAGTGGCTTCAAACATCTGTCAAGTTCCTGCAGATGTTCCTGTTTTTAGTTTTCTACACCGCTTTACAATCTAGCTGTTTTTTGTTACATTTTTTAAATACCATTTTTTTCACTTGTTATTCTCAATTTGCACACATCCTTTATGATTGTCCACTGTCGTCATCACTCTGTTAAATTCAGGTCTCTCTTGTAAATGAGTTCCCGAGGCTCAATGGGACTCACCTGTAGAATTAAAGGTTGAATGAATGATGAAAGGAGCAGAAATGGCTCCTTTGATCGTGAAGGTTGCAGACCCCTGCCCTATCTCTGAGGGAGAGTAACTACATGGATGGATGCATGGATGGGTGCATGACTGGATGAATGGGTAGATGGATGGATGAATAAATAGATGGATAGATGCATGGATGGATGGAGGGATGGATGCATGGTTGGATGGATGGATGTTTGTAGTTTTGGAGCTGATGTTGTTGTGGACTGAAGAGAACAGTGAATGAAGTAAACCTAAATGTTTTTGGAGCTCCACTGAGGAGACCAGAGTCTGTTGCAGCACAGAGCGAGATCCTGCAGAGAGGAGAGCACGGTGGAGCAACTGGTAGAGCTGCTGCCTCTCAGCGAGCAGGTCCCTGGTTCAAACCCCGGTCCAGGGGCCTTTCTGGGTGGAGTTTGCATGTTTTCTCCGTGCATGCGTGGGTTTTCTCCGGGTGCTCCGGTTTCCTCCCACAGACCAAAAACATGCATGTTAGGCTGATTGGTAACTCTAAATTGTCCCTAGGTGTGAGTGAGAGAGTGAATGGTTGTTTGTCTCGTTTGTCTCTGTGTGTCCCTGTGATGGACTGGAGACCTGTCCAGGGTGTCCCCCGCCCCTCGCACAGTGATTGCTGGACATGGGCACCAGCGACCCCCGTGACACAAAATGGAATAAGCGGGTAAAGATGATGGATGGATAGTTTGTTTACACTTTGACCCTGTTGTTGTTGTTGACACTTTGACCCTTGACCCTGTTGTTGTTTACACTTTGACCCTGTTGTTGTTTACACTTTGACCTTGTTGTTGTTGACACTTTGACCCTGTTGTTCTTTACACTTTGACCCCGTTGTTGTTGACACTTTGATCCTGTTGTTGTTGACACTTTGACCCTGTTGTTGTTGACACTTTGACC